GTAATAACACGTACTTAATTATTTATGATACTACATTTTCTAATTGTTAAAAAATTAATTAAAAATGTTCTTGAATAACTATGATAATATTTATTTTTAATAATTTATAATAATATAATATATATAAATGTTAAAATAAAGTGAATGAAAGATAATTCAATTAAATCAAGGGTAAAGGTCACGCTCAAACTTAACCCAATAGTAAAGATAATGTAGTAATATATTTTTTAAATAAATTTATTGATTATTGGAATACATACAATTTTGAAAATGTATTTACGGTAAAATAAATCCAATTAAGTTTACAAATTTTTTAATTATAACAGCTTATTGGGCTTTACTTTTTAGTATCAATATATTTAATATAAACTTTAATTGTTTTTAGTCATATAAATATTATATAACATTCATTCAGGAAAGTAAACATTGTCTATTGTTTAAATCGATGCTGCACGTTTGGGCATTTTTTCCTGTTTAGTACCTATTCAAAATCCACACAACGTTTGGGCACTAAAATTTAAAATGTATATACCTCTGTTTAAAAAGTATATAAAATATACATATATATCAAAATAATATAGGCAACAAGTTTTATAAAGTGTAAGTTACTATTTATTTTGTAAAATAATCAAAATAATATAAGTAGAAATAAAATAAATAGTAATATAGCTACAAAGTGTTATAAAATACGTGAGTTATTTTAGTTATTTATACTAGTGTTAAATAAAAATAGTAATATTATATAAATCAAAATAATGAAGGTATAAAGTTTTATATATAAAAAAAAAATATTATGTAATTACAATATTTATATTTTATTTCCTTGATAACAAATTTCTATAATTTTTAAGTACCTATTCAATTAGTGTAATGTCTTCTTTGTCATAAGCATTCCAATCATTAATCAAAAACTTCCTTTTAAGTTCAGCCTCTTCTCTAGTGTAATTGAATTGANATGTAAAAATACAAAAAAAATAAAATAAAAATGGGTAGTGTGATTATTTGCAAGTTATAAATAATACTAGCACTTCAATGAGTGGTTGATTAAATAAATAAAAATTAATTTTAWCAATTTTTTTAATCATATCTCTTTATTTCGATGTTCCATATTGTGTTATTCTATAGGTATAGCTAAAAACGGTTTTAGTTTAATTATAAACGATAATATACGTATTATATTAGTTTATATTTCAAGTTAATCAAATAAAATGAATATCAACAACATAATTTATAATTTAATAAAATGTCACAAATTTCATACAAATATTCAAAAATAACATTCTAATATTTTTTAGGCGTGGCGTGGTTAATTATACCACAGACATTCAGAATCGAATACGGGTTCTTTTTATTCAGGTCATGGAATTTATTTACAATTATATGTTCTCTTCCGAGCTTAACATTAGCATGTTTGTTGGTGAGATTGCCGGAAAGTCCAAAGTTTTTACTCGCCAAGGGTAAACACGACGAGACCATTGATTGCTTGAAATTCGTTTATAAATGGAATAATAAGACTAAAGATAAATTTCCGGCAAGTTTAATTGTTATTTAATCATAAATGCTCTGCAAAGCCACTTTCCACAAATATTTACGACAACACTGACTTATTTTTGTATGGATGTTTTAGGTGACTTCGTTAATATTACCCGATTGCATTAATGAACAGAGTAATGGTTTCTTTAAAGGGCTCTACGAGAGTACTGTAGGGTTGTTTACATCTAAGTACAAATTTATAGCCATAATTACATGTATTATACAATATGGTGCCACTACCAGGTAACACCTATTCGTTTAGTGAATGTCAAAAATTTTCAAAGCCAAAGTGAGAYATCAATTAGTAACACGTCCATTTGTTTGTTCGCAGTTATTATATGCTGATGCTATGGTTTCCAGAATTGATGAATAGGTTTCGATGGTATGAAACTTCATATTCGGGTCCAAAAAACATGACAAATATGTGCGAAATTGTATCCATGTTTTATGTCAAACCCGAGGAGACAGATCAAGCGTGCAATGATAATATCGATAAATCAGTGTAYTTGAACATAGTGATTATTGGAATTGCATGCTTACCAACAAGTCTTATTGTGCCAATGTTCGTTAACAGATTAGGACTCAGGTTTTTTTTAGGTACAGAATTTTATTTTTAATTAGCTATTGGTTCAATATTTTATTTTATATATATTATCTTATACAGGAAGTTTTCGAGAAACTATAATACCTACATCATTTATATACAACTACCTACCAATGTTTTTTTTTTTTTTCATTAATCCTAAGTCCGGCGACTAAGATCATTAGGTGTTGTAGGGATTATGAACTGTAGTAGTGGTAAGGCTTTTGGTACGGTATGTTGTTTTTATGGTTGTCACGGTAGGTAGCAAACACGTGTATGTGTGGCAAGGTTTTTCTTGTGGCCGTTACTTATTCCCAGTCGCTTTCCACGATTGGTAGCAGCCAACGCTCCACGCCAAGCCACCTACCAATGTTTGATACCCTAAAATTAGAAACCTATAATAAGTTACATATATTATAGTTAATGGTATATAATTATATAAAACAGCAGTTCTCAAACTGTACGCTTGTGGTACGTGAAAGACTCCATGGTGATACGTGAAGGCCGCATGGTGATAGGATGGAAAATTAAAAACAAATATTAGATTCTTAGCGTARCGATGATTTTATAATGTCGTGTGTTTTTTTTARTATTCAGATAATAAAGGTTAGATTTCACGGAAAATACGTCAATAAATAAGATATCGTATAGGTATAATCGWTGATATTGTCGAGATTTTTAATTATCAGTGGTACGYGACTGATTGATAATATACTTAAAAGGTACGTGAAAAAACAAATTTGAGAACCGCTGATTAAAATATAACTAGCAATTTAATTAATATTTCACACTTTATATTTTATTTGGCTTAAATTATGTTCTAATAAGTAATAACACGTACTTAATTATTTATGATACTACATTTTCTAATTGTTAAAAAATTAATTAAAAATGTTCTTGAATAACTATGATAATATTTATTTTTAATAATTTATAATAATATAATATATATAAATGTTAAAATAAAGTGAATGAAAGATAATTCAATTAAATCAAGGGTAAAGGTCACGCTCAAACTTAACCCAATAGTAAAGATAATGTAGTAATATATTTTTTAAATAAATTTATTGATTATTGGAATACATACAATTTTGAAAATGTATTTACGGTAAAATAAATCCAATTAAGTTTACAAATTTTTTAATTATAACAGCTTATTGGGCTTTACTTTTTAGTATCAATATATTTAATATAAACTTTAATTGTTTTTAGTCATATAAATATTATATAACATTCATTCAGGAAAGTAAACATTGTCTATTGTTTAAATCGATGCTGCACGTTTGGGCATTTTTTCCTGTTTAGTACCTATTCAAAATCCACACAACGTTTGGGCACTAAAATTTAAAATGTATATACCTCTGTTTAAAAAGTATATAAAATATACATATATATCAAAATAATATAGGCAACAAGTTTTATAAAGTGTAAGTTACTATTTATTTTGTAAAATAATCAAAATAATATAAGTAGAAATAAAATAAATAGTAATATAGCTACAAAGTGTTATAAAATACGTGAGTTATTTTAGTTATTTATACTAGTGTTAAATAAAAATAGTAATATTAT